ACCGTTAAGTGTGTCACCTTCCACCTCCCTACCCTACTTCCCCCTGGGGTCTCAGGAGACAGAAGTGAAAGTTGCAGCTGGGCCTCGAGGACAGATCATCTTGACAGGCGTTGGGATGAGCATAAATAATGCCACTATTGCAACAAGTGGATGCTAGCTAGAGGGGTGGAGAGACTTCCCATTGAAATGAAAACAGTGGGGAATTCTGAGCATGACCTGGGCCACAGAGCAGGCTGGAGAGTCTCCCAAAGGCTCTCTCCTAGGGCAACACTTTTTGTTCAAGCATCCAGGAACAGACCAAGAGCTGAGCCCTAAATGCTGGGCTTCTGGTATGGGGAATGGGAGGCCGTGCACAGAGTGAAGGAAGGGCCACCCACACTCAGATGGGGCAGGCCAGAAAGAGGCCAATCCAATCAGGGAAGGCAAAGTCTCCTGGCATCGTGACCTCAAGGAGCACCAGGGATTTAAAGGGGCCTTGGGCGGTGGCTGGGTCTCTAAGCCCTAGGCAGAAGGTGGCAGGGTGGCTCTTATGGGGATTAGCTTACTGCTTTAAGAAAAGACATTAGGCTGGGTGCCTAGCCGGTGGGTCCTCAGCACCCTTGGGAAAACATGTAGTCTCATCAAAACACGCCTTCATCAAACAGGGTTCACTGTTTCCTCAGAACACAGCAGAGACCCCTCTGACTTTGTCAACAATGACTGCTGTCTATGCATGACCCAGAGGGTTCCTTCCTCTGTGGGGAAGCTCTCAGGGGCTTTTACAAGCAAGGCCCATCCCTGGGAACAGGTGAAGGCTCCCTTTCTCCTCAGCTCCCCACCCCCAACTGCAGGCTGACAGGTGGGGGAGAAGAGCAGGAACAGCTGGGCCAGGACACCTGTTTTCCACTCCACGCCTGGCCAAGGGTCTGCTTGGGGACCACACGGGCAAGTCTGCCAAGAGGCAGGCAGGTGTGGGGGCAAAAAGAGAGGGGTCCAGATGTCAAGGGGAGACAGAGCAAGAAAAACCACCCTGACCCATGGTACATGCCAGAGGAGAGCAGCCAGGCCCAAGGTCAGCCTCCAGCCCCTCACTCACAGCCCCTGCTTCACACTTCCCGGAACAGGAAGAACCCAGAAAAGAAGCCTATTCCCCTGCCATCGGCCCCACCCCCGCCCCAGTGACCCTCTTGTCTTAGTCTATTCTCCCAGCCTTCAAACCCAGGCTGGGGGGAGGAGGACATCACTGCGAACAGCTAAGGACCTGGGATGTCTGCAGGGCAGGTTTGGAGGCCAGGAGGCAGCTGGCTTGGCGTGGGAAGGAGAGCCTCTGTTTCTCATGCCCCCCTAGGGTCTGGTGGCCCCTTCAAAGCCTTCTCAAGTTCTTGTCCCTACACCCTCGGTCTTGGCTGAAGGTCCTGAGGGAGGGTGCAGCTGTGATACTTCCCATTGAACCTACTTCCTCCAGGAAAGGCAGGGGTCGGGGAGGAAGACAAGGCTGACCTGCCTGTCCCTGTGCCTACCTTCAATCTCTTTCCTGTCTGCTCCAAGCAGAGTTCCAGGAGCCTCTGTGTGTTGCTGGCTCCTGCTCCAGATCCTTGCTTTGGGGCTTCTTCCATTGGAGTGTGTGTGTGTGTGGGGGGGGGGGAATCTGAAGGAATTACTGTCTCAGGAGTCAGAGCAATGCACCCCCAAACTGCCACCAAACCCTCCCTGAGAACTGTGGTCAAGAGTGGCCTAGAGCCTCACTCCTGCAGACAGGTGCCTTCTTAGACAAGAGCTCTCAACCCTCACAATGGACTTCACTGAATAAGTCCTTAGTCTTTCAGCCTCAGTTTCCCCAATACCAAAGACCAGTAGCAGACAGATCCCTGCCTATCTCAGGACCCTTCACGGAGACAACAAATGGTACTCCCTTCATCCAGTTCTGGGGTCTCAGATGTCTTCCTTTTTGACTCTGAACCATGCACCCTGCTAAACTGGGTGTGCATGGGTGATGCCGGAGGGGAGAGCTACAGACAGGCAGGACACGCCTTCCCTGTGGCATGTTGTCTGCCCAATGCTAGGGGAGTGGCCCCAGAACAGCCAGGGGCACCACGCCAAGGTCAGTGACCAAGCCTAGAGCTCAGGGCCTCCTGGGAGGGTAAGTTTAAATGAGTAAATATGGTCCCGCCTGGGTGTGGTTTGCCACAGGCCAGAGCTTGGGGCAGGTCACTCCCTCCAGTGCCCTACACAGAAGGGGCTGTATGCCACAGTCAGCCCCCTCAATCCACGCCACACTAGCAGTCCTGCCTAATTCTGCCAGTGACACCCAGAGGTAGGGGTGGCACATGGGCTGGGCCTCCACAAAGGAAAGGTGGATCTGGAGAGCTTTGGGGACCTCCTAAAACCAAGGATTTGTCCCCAGATGCAGCCCAGTAGCCTCATTCATGGGAGATGGGGACAAAAAGATCAGCATGGACCATCAGACACACAGGTGCCTATGCCACTGAAAGGGAGGCTCCTGCACACCTGGAAGGCTGAGGCTGAGCGGGAGAGGGGCAACTTACCCAACGGCTCAGGCCAGGGTGGGGGGCAGAGGCTAGCCAGGGAACAGAGCAGCAAGGGAGGGTGGAAGTCAGCCAGTGCTCCCTGACTCACAACGCATGCTCTCCACAGACAGGCGCTGCCTGCCCATCTGTGCTCTGACCTCAACCCCTGCTCCAGCCCAGGCTCTCTGGGTTCTGTGCGCTTTCGCCTTCCTGCCTCTCGTCCCTCACCACCCCCCCACTCTCCAATCCTTTAATCATCTTTACCACTGCTGCCCCCACCCCCGCAGCACAACAGCTGCTCTGTGGGTGTCACACCCCCAGGGGTGCGCTGTACACCTTCCCGCGTGTGTCCCATGACCTGCTGCAGACTGCCAGGTGCAGCGGGGCCTGTAGGAGACCCCCAGCCTGCTTTCTGGGGAAAGGGGCTCAGAGGTCAGTCTTCCCACAGCTCCAGGACAACTCCTCAGAATATGTTTTGTCCTAGGCAGGGAGAGATGAGAAAATATTCCAGGAGCCAAACAGCACCAGCCCCACTAGGCCAAAGGTCAAAGCCTTTTTAGCAGAGTCACTGGACAATGCCTGAGATTCTCCTCTTTTTCCTGGCCAAGTTAAGAGCCATCTTTCCCCCAACCTAGCTTCACAGGGAAGTTCTTTCTGATATCCAAGCTCTATCCAGCCTTAACTGCGTAGAGGGCAATGTCAGCCACAACACAGCCAGATGTCTGCTTCTATAACACAGCTCCTAGCAGCTAATGCCACCTCTCCCCCATGAGTAAGTCACCAAACTGGGACAGAAGGACAGAGAGGGTTGGCTGGACTCTGGCCCCATGACTACCTCATAAAAGCCACCGTGATTACTGGTGTGGAGGCTGTGCTGCATGCGACCATTCCTCCTTCCCGCTTCCCTGTAAAGGAGATCATTTTCTCAGGCCAACTGGCTTCAGAGAACCTACAAATCCCAGGCATGGTCCCAAGGGGTGGGAAGAGCCCATCACCACAGAGTCACAGCCCTACATCTGACCCTTGCCAATGGGCTCTGGGCTTGCCTCGGATCATCAACCCTCTCAGGGAACTGTATGTGCGACACACAGTATCCCCCCTGCCTGCAGCTCTTCTGTAGGCCACACTGTCTGGGCGGGGGGTGGGGTGGGGGCAGAGAAGTGGACACAACAGAGAAAAGCCAGCCTACCCACTCAAACCCAGTGTGGGTGGCAAAATGTCCAACAAGGACCGGTGCCAGGCCAGGGCCAGCCATGGAGGACAGGGGGCTCAGTTGGCAAGGAAGACAAGGCTGGGAAGATGGGCAGAGGTCCAGGCCAAGGACACAAGAGCAAAGGATGCTGCAGCAGAGGCCTCTTTCCAGAGCAGGGTCAGAGTGGGGACTCAGTGAGTCTAAGCCCATCCCCTGGGTCCAGCTCCCAACCTGGGAGATTTCCTCTACCTTTCCCATCATACCTCCCAGGAAGACCAGGAGAAGAAAGAAAAAAACCTGCTGGAGAGAGATTATATAACGGCAGCCAGCCAGCCTGTCACATCGCCCAGCCTATGAGCACTAGAAGCCAGAGGGCCGGAGCAGGGTCCTCCAGCCCAGTGTCACCACACAGAGGGGGATGGGCAACCTGCACCTGCCTCCTGTCCAAGTCCCCCCCACACTCTGTTCCAGGCACTGGGCTTAGCAGAGGAAGCACAAGCCTTGTGCCCATCCCCCAACACAAGGCTTCCCATACTTTCTGACTGGGTCCTGCTGCTTCTGTAGGCCAATGGCTGCAAGAGCAAGGCTTGGACATCTTCATTCTTAATCTTAAGAGTCTCTCCCTGCATGAAATCTGTGGCGGAAAGAGGGGGAAACTAACCTCTGATACATATTTGCTGTGTGATCTCAGGTAAAAGGCTTGACCACTCTGGTAGGTACGGGAATGAATGAAAGCTCCTGCCTTCCAAGTGACTCTTCTTACAAAAGTCCATGCAGCAAGCACACACCGCATACGTGGGAAGGGCATAGGAATCACAACAAAGAATCCCCAAGGTCCCAGTGTCCGTGTCTGGGGTAAATGGGAAAAGTGCTCTACAGAAGCTCCTGTATTCCCCAACCACCCCACATAACAAGGTTCTCAGCCACTCCCACAATCATCCCACCCCACCCCCATCCTGGAAGACGCAGGAAGGAAATTCATTCACAGGCAAGGCCATGGGAGCTGGGACAACCAGGCTGAGCACTGGGGCTTGGTGGCCGGTGGCCGGAGGCCAGAAGCTGGGTGTCTGGGAACACTGACAGGTACCTCGTCCATGCTCCCCTCCGCGGATACCTCCGCTAGCTCTGGGAGGGGAACAGAAGGTGGACAGCTCCCAAGGCCAAGTGCACTCAGTAGGCTCCCCTCCGAGATCCGGCCAGAGCAGCCCAAGGTCACCGTCCCAGACGGCAAACTTCCCACAGGCAGGCAGGCAGCTCAGACCCACTGAGGGCTAGGGGGAGGGGGAAGATCCGCCACTCACTCAGCCAAAGCAGCTAGGCCTCGGAGGGAACTCACACGGGGAGGGCAGGGTACCGGATCCACCCACTGTACTCCCCTCGCCTGGCGCTAATGCGCCGGTCAGTCTCAGGCAGAGCTGGCACTCGGGACAAGCTGGGTGGCCCAGGGCCACTGGAAACCCCAAGGGCTCTCGGTGACATCTCTAGGAGGCCTCGCTGCCCCCTCTCTGCCATGGGAGGCCGGGAGCATCGTAGTCCCTTGGGCCAGCCTCACCACTCGAACCCTACTCGCACCAGCTCGGCCAGCACCGACCAAGGCAGGCCCCGAGAGGTCCTGTCAGATGCGAACAGCGGCAAACTCCTGGCCAAGGGGTTCTCCAGCGAGCGTCGCTGACACACCCGACCCGGGGGCCCCACGGGTACGAGATCGCGGCCAGAGCCACGTGCGTTGCGCCCGCCAGAGCGCCAGGCGGCGGGGGCTCGGGTGCCAGGCGCGGCTGTCACAGCAGACGCCCCGGCACCGCCGGCACCACCACCGCCGCCGCCGCCGCCGCCCCGCCCGGCCCGGGACGCTCGTGCCTGGGCGCCCTGGCACCCCTCGCACTCCAGACCACCCTGCGCCCGGCCGCGCGGCGTGGGGGAGGGGCTCTTAAAGGGGCCGGCGCGCGTCGCGACTCACCAGCCCGCAGGGGAACGGGGTTGTCACGGCGCCGGGAGCCTCGGCCCGGTCCACGGTATCCTCGGCTGCGCGAAGCCGGAGCTCCGGCGGGGGAACAGCGAAGGCGCCGCGTCCACGCGGCCTGGGCGGCGCCGCAGGACCCGGACCCCCTGGTGCGCGCGGGGGCGGGCGACGGCGGCGGCGGGCGGCGGGGACGCGGCCGAGCGCCCAAGCCGCCTCGACGGTTGTTGATATTTTGCTTCCTTCCTCCTTTCGGGCTCTAAAGGCAACTCCTCCAGCCCCAGACTCGAGGCCGACGTAGGCACCGCGCAGCCTAGCTTGCGGGATGGGAGGGGGGAAGACGAGGGTGACGGACAAGCGGGGGGCCAATGGGAGGGCCCTGCGGGGCGGGGGCGGGGCCTGGCAGGGCGGCCTTGGACGCAGCCCCGCCCCCTGCCCTCGCCTGCGCCCCACCCCGGCCGGGGCGCGCGACCGCGGCGCGTGGAGCCCGGATCCCTCCGCCTGCGGGACGGAGCGAGGCCGCGGAGACCTCAGCACCCCGACCCCAGAGTTGGCAGAGGTCTAAGTAGATAAGTTCTGGGGAGACTAGAGTGCTGGGAGGCCCCAGCTCCTCCACTTACTGTGTGACAAAGCTCCGAAGCCAGATCGCGTTCTCTCCTCGCTGGGGTTACCTGGGGAGCTCCGCTGCTCCCTCTACCTGTGACAGGCCCCCTCCTTTCCCCTGGCCGGCTCGGTTGACGCCCAGACATTTAAAGCAACAGTGCATAATTCTCGGGTGACCTAATCTTCAGTGCCTGCGGCCCCAGCGCACTTAACTAGCAAGGGGCAATTTAAAGGGGCGGGACCCCAACCACCACCTCCTTTGCCTTACAGGAAACATCCAGGAGCCTCCTCGTCTTAAAGAAGAAATAGTCACTCTCTTATGAAAAACAAACAACAACAACAACAACAAAACCTTTTCAAATCCCTGGTGGCTTCTGGGCGTGGCGAATTTTTAAGTGCTTCACAACAAGATTGTGCGCACCATTGCTTCTGAACACTGACCCGTCAGACTTCCTGTCCAGCATCCTGTCACTTCCAAGTCCTCTGCTGGCTCTACCTGGAGCTTGAGGAAATGAGTCTGGCTTGGACTTCAAAGCCTTGTAGAACAGAGGTTCTTCACAAGCTAGGGGCTGGTTTACTGGACAAAGTCTGGGTTTTGGTAGGAGAGACTAGGAGAGGCAACACGTGGTGGGTTAGAAACATCAATCTTGGAGTCAGGACTGTCTTGGTTCAAATCCGTCTACTGTTGATGAGGAGCAGAGCACATTTCTTAACTCTCCATCCTCTCGGGTAAAATGAAGGTGGTAAGGACAGTATCTAACGTGTGAATCTGGTGTGAGTTTAGTTCCCCGTAGACTAGGACAGTGCCTCGTGCTGCTCTGTAATGACCCTCCCTCGGGCTGCTCAACTGGAAATGAGAGCCCTTGAGGCCAGGATGGGTCCGGACAAGGCTGGCTCATGGGAGAAGTTCAATAGGACAGTTCTGCAAAGAGCTTGGAGACGTACCTCCTTAAACAGGAAGCTAGCAGGCTCCTATTCCCTTGGCCTCCCTTTCCAGCCCTTCTACTTGGCCCCTCCTTCCAGAAGCCCGATTTATACAGTATCACACATGGTCCCCAAATGTTGCTCTTTAGTTTCCCTAGTAGTATGGGGGGGGGGGGGGCTCCCAGCGCAGAGATGCCAGTACTCTTGAGCAGGCTGGTTTGCCCCCAGTACTTCAGGGAGGGCATCTGTTCTTCCCCAAGCACTTGGAGAACGCAGCCTTGTTCGGGCTCGAAGCAGTGGTGGGAGCAGGATGGGAAAGTGCCCTCCCAGTGGGGAACCTCCCCTCACTGTGGCCTCTATTTTTAGTGCTTCCCCAGGCTCGAGCTGGAGAAAGCGTTTAGTCATCAGGGTGTTTATTTTCCGGCTGTTTCCGACGTCGGGAAAAGCAGAATGTTGAGACTGGAGAGATCCAGGGCTGCTGTAAAAGACTTCTTAGGAACAGGCCTGGGAACACTGCCTTCAGACCGTTGGGTCCCAGCTCATAGGAAAACAAAACAGGATGGGCCCGGGACAGCTAAGCCCTCAGGAGTTTTCAACCTGCCTCAACCTTGGAGGCTATCCAAGCTAGAGAACCCTCTGGCCCAACTCTATTTGAAGATTGTTTCTCAAAACATCACCAAGCCCAGGAGAAATTCTTTCCCAGAATCCCCCTCCCCAACCTCTCCTAGATCTGCCGGGTGAGCCTCCCGCCAACCACAACCCCAGCCAATCTCCAATCTGAGGCGGGCCTTCCAGAGCTATGATTGGTTGGCTGGGCATTCTAGACCTGGAATGTTGAGTCCTTAACAAAGGAATGAGGAAGGAAGGTGAGTCACCTGGGGGAAGGTATTAAAGGACTAGCTAGAAGAGAAAGAAGAGGGAAGAGCTCGGGGAGGTGGGGCCCTGGACGCTAACACGGTGACTTGACAGCTCACACGAGACCAGAGTAGGGGGCAGTAACAGTCCAAGTGGGGCAAAATTCAGAGTCTGAAAACGTCTTGGAAGAGAAGAGAAAAGGTAACAATCGTGAGGTCTTGATTTCCACAGAGGACCGAAAAGGGCCAAGGTAATGTTGGCAGCTGGATGAAAATTGGACTTCCTGAATTCTTTTCTTCTGGCCCCTGGACTTCCCATCCCAGAATCCTCTGGGTGGCAAAAGACTGTGTCTCACGTTTCCTCTCCCATCTCTGGCTATGCACCTATCTCTTATTAATTATTGTGTGTGTGTGTGTGTGTGTGTGTGTGTGTGTGTGTGTGTGTGTGTGTGTGTGTTAGTGTGCCATGGTGCATGCTTGGACGTCAGAGGACGATTCTGTGGAGTCGATCTCTCCTTCCACCTTTCCATGGGTTGGGGGCTCAAACTCACGTTGCCAGGCCTGCTTGGCAAGCGCTTTACTGGCTAAGCCATCTTGCCGGCTTCTACCCATCTATTCTAAAGAAAAGTCACCTTCCAGCCCAAAGCTGCTGTAAAATCCCCCGTGGGCCCTTGGAACACTTAGCTGCCCACCGAAGTCCTGATAAGAATACCGTCTAAACTCAACCTTCATTGCCATCTTTACAAGGCTCCCTGGCAAACAAAACTTCACCCTCCTTTGCCCGCCCCTTCTCAGGCTTCTCTAATTCACCTGTGCTTGGAAAGGTCTTTCCCGCAGGTTCCCATCCCTCTCCGCACCCCTCTTCCACCTGGCAGTCCTTCCCCAACCTAGGAAAAGTGCTCCTGCCATCCCTTCTAGTCTGGTGAGCTGCTTGGCAGGCCCTCCTCACCTTCCTTCCCCTGCGCCATCTGGACAGTTCTCAGTCCCCACCTCCACCCGCAACTCAGCCACCTAGCTCATTCTTCCAGTTTTTGGATGATCCCAGCAAAGACACACACACACAGCCCCATCTCTCCCGGCATCTACCACCACGCTGGCGAACCGGACCCTCAGCAGGTGGGCGTGGGTACTCTCAGCGCGAAGGTGGGACGCTGCCCTCTGTCCCCGTCTCCCCAGGACGCACTAGCTGGCTGGGTTTGCTTTCTAAGGTACTTTTCCTCCCTAGCTCCTGAGTTCCTGCGGGGATGCAGAGCTTTGCAGAGCTGGCGTGGAACGCGCTCAGCAAATGTGTGTGCGCAGCTGTGTGAGTTAGGATTGTGCAAACTCTACTCAACACCTCATTTCTGCATCGACAATCGTGGTAGCCTACGACTCCACTTCAGGGCAGAGTTGAGGTGAGGGATGGATAGCCGAGTCCGCCGGAGTCAAGTTCCGTGTGACACAGTAGTGCCCTACGCCGAGAGTCAGGGTGTCTGGGACCAGACGTGGGGATAAGAGCGGAGGCCCCTGGAGCTGAGAGGGAGAGGTGCCAGAGCGGGTCCCGGGTCCGTGTACCCCCACAGGAGCTCCCTGCCCCCGGCTGGGCAGGATGTGGTGGCAGCTGCAGTTGGGTGGGCAGGATGTGGGGGTGGGGGCAGACGAACACAGCCCGACAGTAGTCTCCCCCCCAGCTCCTGCCTCCACCCCCTCCGGGTCACGTGCTCTCAGCTTGGGCACCGACGGACTATTTCCCATTTTCCGCGGAAGGACATCTCAAACCCGCCGTCACGGGCCTTAGTTGTACCACGCCATTTTCTTGCCCCCATCTCCAGCCTAGGACAGAAAGTTTGCCCAGTACACGTTTCTGTAAAGCGCGGATTAACTCGGCAGAGGCCCCTTTAAATGCAAATGATCGCCTCCTTGCTCCGCTCCCCCCCCCACCCCCATCCCAACTTCTCTCCTCGTGCCCAAACTCCACCAGCTGCTATTGACGTCAATCGTGCGTCAGCATCGCCAGCCCAACCAGACAGCACGTGGGGGGAAGAAGGCAATCTTAAAGGGCCAGGCGCTCAGGGCCTGTTAGGTTACCGGAGAAAGGAAAAGCGAAGTGCAATGGTGGGAACTGTTGGAGCAGGAAGAAATGCAGGGGAGACTTTGAGAAGGACTGCATAAGGCTGGCGAAGTGGCTCAGCGGATAAAGGTGCTTCTGTGCAAGCCCGAGATTCATTTCCCCAGTTAGCCTCTGACCTTCACGTACATCATTTTCTCCCCCACCCCCGCACACGTACAGTACCAATAAACTTTTTAAAAAAGACTTCTCAGCATAGGGGAGTTTATTTTTTTCTTCTTTTTTATTTTACTCTATTGTGCGTGTGGTATGTACGGGTGTGGAGATCAGAGGACAATCTGCCGTAGTTGGTTCTCTCCTCTCACCTTAGGTTGGGCGATGTGGGGCGGTAAGCGCT